CCTTCCTTCCTTCTTTCCTCCCTCCCTCTCTCCTTCCTTCCCGCCCTCCATCTCTTCCTTCCTCAATTCTCTCTCTTCCTGCCTTCTTTCTTTCCTTCTTTCCTTCCTTAATTTTGTTTTTTATTTTGTATCCAGTCCTGGGGTTTGAGCCTTGTGCTCTAGCATGGCTTTTTCACTCCAGGCTGGCACTCTACCACTGGAGCCACACCTCCAGTTGCAGCTCTTTACTGGCTAATTAGAGAGACAAGAGTCTCTCAGATTTGTCTTCTCAGGCTGGCTTTGAACCATGATCCTCAGATCTCAGCCTCCTGAGCAGCTAGGATCAATAGGTGGAAGTCACTAGTGCCAGGCTCTGGCTGCCATTTTTAGATGCTCTACTTTGACTCCCTCCCCCTGGCCCCCCCCACCAACAAACCACCACCATAACAATAACCAGAGTCTCCAGGTAGATCTGCTAGAAACACCTGCTTTCCCATCTCCTCAGGGAAAGCCTGAAGAGCTATTTTGAATACAGCAATGTTGCTAGCAGGAGAAAACACCAGCTTGCAGATGGACTCACTCACCATGGTGGTCTCAGCGATGGAACCGAAGCTGTTGATGAAGATATTGCAGCTCACATTCACCGGGGGACCTGGCAATCAAGAAGACAGGCCTGCTTAGCCTCAGGGCCAAGGAGAAAGCCATGTTCTAGCAAGCTGATCTTATGCATGGAGCCCATTGGTGGACAAACACGTCGCTCGCCCTCCTCTGTCCCGCCTCCCAGCATCCGGGATTCCCAGCCTGGGAATTGCCAGACTTATTCCTCTATTCCCAGGCCCAGGGCAAGTACACAGCAGCAGAGACTAAGCAGAGATGTCCTTTCAGGAACACAAAAGGACTCATTATCCAGCCAGATGGCTTCGAATTCCTTCCCCCCAGTCCCACTGGAGTCTGCCTTTCTAATTTGTGTCTTAAAGGATGTATTTATGGCTACAGCATATTTAGAGACCACTTTGGGAGCCCCAAGAAACAGCAAGCTCCTGGCCTTGAACTTCTGAACCAAGAACAACTTCTGCCTGAAAGGGTGATCATGGGGATTGCTAGCAGAGGACCGCAGAGGGAACCTCGGAGAAAGCCCATACGTCTTTGTTAAGTACTTTTGCAGACACTTTTTTCCACTCTCGCTGCCAACAAGGAAGGGGGTAGAGGGAGCAGTTGTTGCTCTGATAGCTTGGGGGTGGTGATTGAAACCCGCTTTCTTCATTTGAGACGATTCATTATGGCAGTTAGAATTTCCAAGCATTAGACAGTTGGCTGGAGTTTGGAACATTTTCCTAGATCATCCTTTCTCCTGCCCCCCCCCACTTCCCCATCTCCCTTGATGCTAGGGCTTGAACTCAAGGCCTAGGTACTGCCCTTGAGCTTTTTGTTCGCTCAAGGCTGGAGCTCTACCACTGGAACCCCAGCTCAGCTTCTGGCTTTTTGGTGGTTGATTGAAGATAAAGAGTCTTTGGGACTTCCCTGCCCAGGTTGGCTTGGAACCGAGATCTTCAGATCTCAGCCTCCTAAGCAGCTAAGATTACAGGCCGGAGCCACAGATGCCTAGCTAAAATTAACGTCATCTCAACATACCTGGGAGAAGGTTGACTGCTAACCTGTATTATTCAGGATGAACCAATAGAGACTCGGAGAGATTAAAGTATTTGTCCATGGCTATCTTGCTATTAAATAGTGGAGCCAGGATTTGGATACAGATTTGTCTAACTTCCAAGGTGGGCATCTCCATGGTTATTACAGAAAAGAGGAAGGAAGAGGCATGTTCAAGGTCATACAGGTGGTGACAAAATCCAGAATCTTGTCTTGGGCTTCCAAGTAAGCCAGCGAAATTTCCAGAATAAAGACCATGGGAGAGAGGCAGAAAACAATAGAGTCCAATTAAGGAAGGTGCTGGAAAATGAGACAGGAAAGAGACCTCAGAAAGGGGCTGACCTTGAGCTGACCTTGGTGGTTGGGCTTAGAGAATAGGTAGTAGTTCTTTTACACTGTAATCTGTTAATTTTTTTTCACAAGTTCCATATCCTTTTTGTTGTTGTTGGTGGTGGTGGTGGTCATGGGGTCTGAACTCTGGGCTTGGGTGCTGTCTCTCAGCTCTTCAGCTCAAGGCTAGCGCTCTACCACTTGCGCCACAGCACCGCTTCCAGCTTTTTTTTTTTCTGCTTATGTGGTGCTGAGGAATCAAACCCAGGGCCTCATGCGTGCAAGGCAAGCACTCTACCACTGAGTCACCTGCCCAGCCTCCCCCCACTCCTTTTTATTTTTTTGTCTGAGATGAAGATTTGAAGTTGGTACCTGCTGCTTTCTGGCTAGGGTCTACCAACTGAGCCACACCTCCAGCTCCTGCAAGTCCAGTTTCTTGTAGCCATGAGGAACTGAGGGAGTCAGTATAGATTCATTGTCTTTACATCACAAATGAGTCTAGAGAATTGTTATTAATTCAGTGGCCTTTTTTGTCTGGTGTGTGTGTGTGTGTGTGTGTGTGTGTGTGTGTTGGTACTGGGGCTTGAATTCAGGGCCTTGAGCTCTTGCTTAGATTTTTTTTTCTCAAGGCTGACACTTTGCCACTTGAGCCACAGCTCCTCTTTGGCTTTTTAGTGGTTGATTGGAAATAACAGTCTTTCTGATTTTGTCTGCTTAGAATGGCTTTGAATCAGGATCTTCAGATTTCAGCCTCCTGGGTAGCTAGGATGATAGGCATGAGCCACAGCACCCAGCAGCTTAGTCTATCTTGAGCAGGTCTTTCTATAGCTGGTTAATTTTTTTCTTTGGGTTAATATTTTCTTTCTCTGAAGCAGAGTGGAAATCTGCCTCATTGTCGTTTCCACTTAAACAAAGGCCTATTTCATTTCTCCCTCATTTAGTCTTAGATTCAGGTTTTTCATTTGACCCTCACACGGTTAAGATGCTATGAAGAATTACTGCCTGTATCTTGCAGCAGTGCACAGTTTCCGCCCAGGCTCTGTGAACATCTCTCGATTGTGACTCTCATATAAATTAGGGCCTGATTTATGTGCGGGAGAGGGCACCCACCAGAAGACCCCATGGGGAAGGTACGGTTCATTGATGTAAATCTGAAATTAAATTATCTCAAGAAAATTACAACCCGCCTGGCATTTGGCAGCGGGGATAATGTATATATGCCATTAAATATTAAAGTTTAATTTTGTGTATGGGTTTGCATTGGGTTGTGTTCGTGATCCATAGAGTTTCAGGAAACACAGAGTGTCAGAGTTAGGAATAGTTCAATTGTGCCAGACCTATTTACAACTCCCGAGACAAAGGGACAACTGGTCTACCACCTTCCCCTGCCTCTGTGTTTAACAGAACAGGCCTGTGGTTCCTTCGTCATTGTCATCTCCGGCTTTAGGAGAGTCAGGAGCAGGCAGATTTCTGTGACTTGCTTTCATTAGGCTGTGATTGATCTGTGATGTTTCTCAAACACTGCAGTGGAGGGGAACAAGGGATCTGATCTGGATGCTTTTTCAGAAGCTCTGTGCTTTGCCTGAGACCTTGGAGAATCAGAGTGGAAGCTGAGAGAGATTCATTCTTGCCCACGAACAAAATCTTTCTCCCCATTCCTATTATTTGCAGGGGGGGGAGGTTCTGGGGAGCTGTCTTTACTTTCAGTCAGGGGAGACCAGAGGGTTAAGAGAAGCCAAAATATTAATTAATTGATTGATTAATTTTTGTGCCAGGCCTGGGGTTTGAACTCAGGTCCCTGAACTTCTTTTACTCAAAGCTAGCTCTCTACCACTTGAGCCACAGCTTCACTTCTGGCACTTTTTTTTTTTTGGCTAATTAGTTGGGGATAAGTATCTCATAGATGTTTTTGTTCAGGCTGGCTTTGAACCACAATCCTCAGATTTCAGCCTCTTGAGTAGCTAGAATTAGAAGGGTGAGCCATGGTATTATTTAATTCTGCATGTTTGGAACCCACGTGCTCCCAGTAAGATTCTCAGTGGAGTATGGGGGTGACTCATTGTTCTAACGCCAGGCCTTGGGAAGTGGAGGAAGGAAGATCTTGAGTTCCAAGCCAATCTGAGCTATATAATGAGACCTCTCAAACAAACACGTCTTCTGCTAAGTAAAGCATTGGAACAGCTGGGTGAGAATGGTCTTTTATTTTCTTGTGTTTGGTCCTGATTTAGAGTCTTACTGTATAGCCCAGGGTGGCCTCACACTGGAGATCCTGCTACCACAGCTGTCCTGAGTGCTGGGATTACAGGTATGTATTACCATGCCCTCCAGTGAAAATTCTTTTTTTTTTTTTTTTTGGGTCCGGTCGTGGGTTTTTTTTTTTTTTTTTTTGGGTCCGGTCGTGGGGCCTGAACTCTGGGCCTGGGTGCTGTCCCTCAGCTCTTCAGCTCAAGGCTAGCATTCTACCACTTGAGCCACAGCACCACTTCCGGCTTTTTTCTTAGGTGGTGCTGAGGAATGGAACCCAGGGCCTCAGGCATGCAAGGCAAGTGCTCTACCACTGAGCCACCTTCCCAGCCCCAGTGAAAATTCTTGATTGCCACATTTGACTTGGGGAGGTTGCTTAGCTGCTTCTAACCCAAGTATATTTGCCTGTTCATTGGTTGGCTCATTCATTGAGGGCTCTCTGTGTGCCAGATCTGGTGGCATGGTCAAAGAGCTAACAGGAAAACCCCTAGGTGCAATGACTTTCCTACCCAGGATGGAGTTCTGAAAGAGCCCATCAGGGGGCACTATAGAGCAGAATTGCAAAACCACTAAGGTTTGTGTCCCATGAGCAAGTTGAACAAGTTTGGTTTGGTCCATGGTAGTTTTAAGAGAGACTGAGTGCCAATTTGGAAGATTTTACATAAGCCTCTAGATTTAAGCCTTATTGAAAGGAGTCATCCTCAGCTGAGAATCCTAGGTTTTCTTTCTTTCTTTCTTTTTTCTTTCTCCTTTTTGTTAGTTGTGGGGCTTGAACACAGGGCCTAGGCACTGTCCCTGAGCTCTTCTGCTCAAGACTAGCACTCTACCACTTGAGCCACAGCGCCACTTCCTATTTTCTGGTGGTTCATTGGAGATAGATGTCTCATGGACTTTCCTGCCCAAGTTGTCTTTGAACTTCGATCCTCAGATCTCAGCCTCCTGAGTAGCTAGGATTATAAGCATGAGCCACAATGCTTAGCCTGGATTTTCTTGTATTTTTTCTTTTTTTCCTCTTTTTGGGGGCCGGAGTGGGGAACAGTCCTGGGGCTTGAACTCAAGGCTTGGGCACTGCCTCTGAGCTTTTTGGCTCAAGGCTAGCATGCCACCATTTGAGCGACAGCCCTACTCCTGCCTTTTGCGGATAGTGAATCAGAAATAAAAGCCTCCTGGACCTTCCTGACTAGGGCTGGCTATGAACCATGATCCTCAGATCACAGCTTCCTGAGTAGCAGGGATTACAGGTATGAGTCACCAGTGCCCAGCTGTATTTTTCTTTATTACCTCCATCCTGCTTCATTCAATACCTTCCTGGCCCTTTGGGATGTCTGAGATTGATGAAGTCCTCAGGGCAGGGTACCATGATAACAAACTCTGTCCTTATTTGTCTGTCCCTGGAGAAGCTAAGGTTATGCTAATGATGATGGAGGATCA